TTTGGTTGGTTGATGATGCATGGAGGGGATTATAACCATGGCAATGATACCATATATGATAGAATGAATGTAAAACTAATGTTCTCCCATGTAAACTATCATATAATTCACAATAAAACACTAAAAAAAAACCTGGCGGGGGGGAAAAATGTGGTACAAGGGATGAAGGGAATGCCAGTGTAGATTAATGTTAAATGTTAAATATGCTCATGTTTCAAACCTGGGCATTGCTATTGTGGATTGTAAGCTAGTTTAATAGCTCTTAAAGTCTCCGTTTCCTTTCCTGTAAATTGAAGATAGAAATGGTACCAACCTCATAGGTTTATCTTAAATATTAAATGAGATATTGCATGTAAAGCATTAAGCACAGGCCCTGACGAAGGGTCAGTAAGTGTTAAAGATAACTTTTTGTTGATGATGATGAAATGATAAATATCCCCTTTCCTGGAAGTTCCTGATCTTCATGACTTCATTTCTAGAACTAAAACACAATTCGTCCAGGCTGATGTCCAATGACAGCAATGACAACAGCAGCAGAAAAACACATGTATTTATTTCAGGTAATCATGGAGACAAAGGAATTAGATGAAGAGAAAATTATGGATACAGAATGTAGAATGTATGATATATTGGTTGGATGGAGAAAGAGCAGCACTTGAACAGTGGGACATGTCTAAGTGGTGGATTTAAGAGGAAAGAACCTTTATAAATCTCAAAAGAACACTGGCTGTGACAGATGCTGCTGGAGGGAAAAGAAGAATGGATTGTTTGAATGGGAAATATAAAAATTGAAAGCATCATATCATAGATACCAAAGAGATGACTGTGTTTATTACCTGGAAAAATACTAAATTCTTAGCCTCAACCAAAGTATTATATCATACCTCAACAGGGATATAATAAGGTATTATCTAACCCCAGGTACTATGAAAGAGGATGAGGAAATCAGTTCATATCTTGTTTTATGCATCTCAGAGGGTGTTTATGGGCCATTTCATGGTCTTTCAATTTATTGGGATATATCACAGGAACAGTGATTTCCAGCTTCTCCTAAAAATCCTTTGATGCATAGTACTTCATGTTCCCTCTCCAATAAAATCATTGAATTCTAAGATTGAGGATGTCCAAGATTTTCATCTAGTCTGATTTTACTACTTTATGGGTGACCAATATAATTAATATCACAAGCAAGTACAATTTTGCTGAAGAGAATTTAAAAATGGCTGCAACAGTACATCAACAGGGCACTGACAGAAATTCAAGTCACACTCACAAAAGGATGTGGAACAAGGGATATCATTGCTAATGTCAGATGAATCTTGGATGAAAGTAGAGAATACCAGAAAGAT